GTGTGCACGTGGTGTGTGTGTGTGCACTGGATGTGTGCATGTGGTGTGTGTGCACTGGATGTGTGCACGTGGAGTGTGCATGCACTGGATGTGTGCACGTGGTATGTGTGTGTGCACTGGATGTGTGCGTGCACTGGGAGTGTGTGAGCCCTGAAGGGGTGTGTGCACTGGGAGCATGTATGTGCACTGTGTGTGTGTGAGCCTTGGGTGTGTGTGTAAGCCCTGAGGGTGTGAGCACTGGGAATGTGTGTGAGCCCTGGATGTGTGTGTACTCAGTGTGTATGAGCCATCTGTGTGAGCCCTAGGTGTGTGCAGGCCCTATGTGTGTGAGTCCTGAGTGTGTGAGCCCTGGAGGTGTATGTCAGTGCTTCTGCAGGCATGTCCTCCAGCTGCCCACAGGGCCAGCACTCCATGATGACCTTACTGACACCTATGAGGGCCCAGAGAGCCTCCCGAGGGACCCCAGGTGGGATCCAGAGCCCTACCATTTGGCTAGAGGGACAGACTATCCCACACAACCCCTGAGTTCCCAGGGAGATCCACAGCCAGGGGCCTTGTGTGGTGTGGCAGGTAACACCCTGGGATGGCAGCATTCCACAAGGGTGCTGGTTCGAGTCCTGGCTGTTCCACTTCTGATCCAGCTCCCTGTGTTAGCAGCAGATGAAGGGCAAAGAGCATGAGTCCTGGATAAAGCAGCAGACGACAGCCCCTGCTGGGCTCCTGCTGGGCCCCTGACACGCACACGGGAGACCCAGAGCAAGCTCCCAGCCCTGGCCCCTGCAGCCATCAGGGAAGTGAACCAGCAGGTGGAACACTGCTCTGCACCTCTCTCTAACTCTCCTGAAGAGTCCCACCCAGGAATGAGGGCGATGGCAGGAGCTGCAGGCGTGCCCGACCAAGGCAGGCCCCTGCCGAGCAAGCCACATCATAGCACATCATTTGCCTCGAGGACGTGCAGCCACTTGGGCACCTGGCTGATGAAGGGCTACAGAGCTCGGGCGGCACTGAGATCCTAGCTGGACATTCCTGAAACAAGGCTCATGGGCTCGCTCCCCTGAGGCCAAGGTGCTCTGGGCGGGCAGGCGGCTCACGCCCAGTTCTAAGCAGCCAGGATCATCTACGGCCGGCTTTGCATTCCCTGTACGTGCCATCCAGAGGCCTGGGCCCCAACACCCTCCCCACAGCCAGCAGAGCAAGGGCAGGGCCCAGGGCACGGCCCCGAGCGTGGTAAGTCGGCCAGGGGACACTGCCCTGTGGTCTCCCTCCAGCCCAGCAGGAGCAGAAGCCAGCATGAGGTCAGTTCCAGGCACGACACAGCCAGACAGGGCCATCCTGCAGGGTGGTAACTGCTGACTCACTAGAGCCGAGTGAGCTCATGGGCTGCAGGGCAAGGCCACCTCCCAACACTGTGCGCACATGCCCTGGCCGTGCGCAGCCCACCCCAGCCGCTTCTGCAAATGAGTGTGGCGGTCGGCCCGTCACTAGAGTCACGGCTGCCTCCCATGCCAGGAGCAGACCAGGCAGTGGGGCCACAGCTACGGGGCCATGGCCACAGAACACAGCTCCACTGCAGGCTAACTGTGGCTTTTTAAAATTCACATTTGTTTGAAAGAATCAAAGAGACAGAGAGACATCTTCTGCTAGTCACGCCCCAAATGGCCGCATCGGCCGGAGCTGAGGGAATCCGGAGCCAGGAGCCTCTTCCAGGTCTCCCAGGCGGGTGCAGGATCCCAAGGCTTTGGCCCATATTCTCATTCATTCTCTCTCTCTCTCTTCCTTACCCCACTACTCTCAAATAAACAAATCCTAAAAAAGAAATGGAACCAGGCAGCTGCCCTGACTCAGAAATGGACAGTGTCCTAAGTACCCAACCTAACCTAGAACCTTCCAGGACTCCTGCCGGGCCCCATGCCTATGTGCTCCCAGAGCCCGGGACAGGCCTCTGCATTCCATCCCAGACCAAAGCTGGGTGCTGGCAGCACCACACAGGTGTCCCCAGCCCTAGTGGGTGGTGGAAACCCCCCCAGGCCCTGACCCCACTCTCAGGGGGAGGATGGGGGCCCATCCCCACAGGCCCTGACCACACTCTCAGGGGGAGGATGGGGGCCCATCCCCCCCAGGCCCTGACCACGCTCTGGAGGGGGAGGGAGGATGGGGGAGCCCATCCCCGCAGGCCCTGACCACACTGGGGGGGGTTGGGGGAGGATGGGGGCCCATCCCCGCAGGCCCTGGCCACACCAAGGCCCACACAGCTCAGCATAGCACTTGCGCGTGGCCAGGAGACCAGCAGCCGTGGCTGGTGGCCTAGGGCTGCCCTGTCGTCTTCAAACATGCATGTGGGACGTGCTTCCGTGAGACCGTGCCCAGCACAGTGGGAGGACGGGGCAGAGAAGGCAGCAGAGGGCAGCCGGGTTCTCCCAGGCGTAGGTGGGCAGGCTGTGCAGTCCACAGTGGAGTTCCCTGCGGTGGAGCTGGGCTCCCTGCACGCTGGCCCCAAAGCAGCGGCGGGCAGCAGGGTGGACATGTTCCTGACCCTACCTTGTGAGACCACAGGTGGGACAGGGCCTGCCTGTGCCCCGAGCTCACAGCTGGCGTGTGGACAAGCCCCTCTGACCTGTGGGGTAGCGTGGAGAGCTGGCCTGTGCTGGCCCACTAATCAACTGTGGAGGCTGCACCGCAGCTCACCATGGGTACGTCAAGAGGAGGGTGCCAGGCGTCCGCCCTGGGACCTAGCCCCCTCCCAAGCCCCTGCCCGACACACAGTGCAGCTACACGGCACACTGCTGTCAGCAGGGGGACAGGAGGACACAGGCATGGCCCAGTGAGGAGGAGCAGGGGCACTGGTCCCTCCCCACCCCTGTGGGTGCCCTTGGTTTGGAGTCTACATGAGAGCAGGTAGGGCGTGGGTCATGGGAGGCTGCGCTTATCCAGCCCCCAACCACGTAGCTGCTGGCTGTGGGGGCAGGAGAGGCGGCCTGGGCCTCAGCATCCACCTGAGAGAGAAGCTGGGCAAGCACACGGTGGCACCGTCTGCAGCCAGCAGAGGGCGCCATGGGCCCACACAACTCAAAGCGCCAGTTCAGCTGAGTGCAGTGCACCATGCACAGGACCCTGCGACAGCTCCCACGCAGCAGCCCAGGCCAGGGTGTCCCTCACCTGTGAGTCCTGCCTAACTTCAGGCAGTGTCACCCACACCCAGCTCCATCTGCCCCAGCCTTTCCCCGGGCTCGCTCTGGGCTCCCTTGGGGATCTGTCATTTCAGGGGTACTGGGGCAGCTGTGGCTCGGGGATCCCCAAGCCTTCCCCTGAGGGCACTGTCCCTCCACGAGGACACTGCACTGGTGGGTCCTTCTCCATGAGCACTGGCCAGGCTGGAGGCTGCCTGTCCCTCAGGCCACACGGAGACCATGTCCAGGGTCTGTCAGCCGCACGCAGGGTCACTGGGCTGAGCAGAGGCCAGGCCCCAGGGACCCAGGACAGAGCCTGCGTCCCCATGGCACGGCGCCTGTGACCTCTGGCTGACCCGGAGCTGCCTGGAGCATTCCTATTTTTGTCTTTCCTGTGGCCTGTGGGCAGGCCTGGCCCAGTGCCCAGTGTCCGCTGACCGCTGGCCATGTGGGGAGATGTGCCTTGGACTAGGAGTGCACAGGACAATTGGAGGCCAGCCGTCCACTGAGTCCTGCTGGAGAGCCAACCGCAGCGCAGAGCCAGGCGCCAGAGCCTGGCCGCCCATGGCCCTCAAAGACCCGGATTCATGGGCAGGGCAGGGGCCCAGAGCCCCAGCCTCCCACATGGGGCTGAGCCACGCAACAGATCAGACTCAGAAGGCCCATCCAGGGTGGTGGCGCATAGCAGGCTCCGAGTAACCCCCCACCATCACTGGGGGTCCTGGGCCTGCCTTGCCAGTTGTCCCACCCCATGCTGGGGATCCAGGGTGCTGCTCCACTGCTCGCCCTACTGGGCGGGGTGCAGCAGCATCCACTCTACACAGACAGCCCAGCCCACGTACCCTGCAGGAGCGCCTCGGCCTCTGCCTGAACTGGGACCCCTCCCTTCCTCTTGGAGGACCCTGGCCAGGACTCCTGGCTGTGCATCAGCACGGTAGCCCCGCGTTGTCCTGTCCCCAACTGTGGCCAGAGGGGCCCATGGCAGACAGGGGGCTGAGCGCTTCTGTCTGCCCCTCCCTGCCCAGACCCCCTCCTGCGTGGCAGGTGACGGTCAGTGAGGACAATGAGGAAGGATGGCGTCCACGTCTCCAGGTTGGACTGCAGACCTGCACGAGTATGTGCTACAAAGCGTGCACTGGTGGGCAGGGCGGGCCCATGCTGGCAGTGCCAAATGCACCCACTTGTGTGGCCAGCCACGCTGCCAGCAGAGAGCATGAGGGGCACACAGGGAGCCCCACGGACACCGACACCCACCTGCACGTGCAGTGCCACACACCTGACACCCACACACAGCACACATACATCCACATCACATCCACACACAGGGACTCACCTAGACTACCAGCGGGTCCTCACACAGAAGCATGTCCAGCCTCTTGAGGGCGAGGCTGGCCCAGAACAGAGCTCAGGGGGATGGGGTAGGGGTCAGCAGCTGCAGAGCCTACGAGCTGCCCATGCGAGGTCAGGGGCCTGAAAACTCCCCACGCTGCTGGCCAGCTCAGTTTCCTTGCTAACTTCCACAGGCCTTAGGCCCCTGCACAGCAGAAGAGCCGGGAGCCAAATGCTAGGGACACAGTGCTGCAGGCGCAGCCGCAGGAGGGCTGGGGCAGCCTGGGGCTCACTCCTCAGTCCCGTTCCCTGTAACACTGAGCCCAGCCTGCTCCGGAACGGCCATTCTTGGGCTGCCATGTTGGAAGGGGCTCAGGACACAAGGTGGCCAGTCACCATTTATTTCTTGGTGTGTGCTGCCCAGCCCAAGCCACATGCAGGCCCTATCTAAGAGGAGAAGTGGGGCTCCACTGCATGGCCCCCAGCACACGGTTCCTTCCTCACTGGCACCCCGGGTGCCTTCCTCCTAGCTGGGCCACGCTTCACCTGCCGTGCTCGGGCCCCAAATGCCAGGCTCTGCAGCGTCTCTGCCACGTGCTTCCGGCCCGGGGACACACAGAGCAGCACCAGTAACTTCGCATCGCCTCCTAGGGGGAGAGGGAAGAGCAGGGAGGCCGGCCGTCCGGTGCCATGCCTGCCCCTCGGCAGTCCACAGGGTGTCCTGTCACCTGTCTGCTCTGTCATTGTCTGGCCACCTGTTCACCTGCTATAGGGCACAGATACTGACCGCAGGCCACCACCCTGACGCCCACCTGTGGGGCTGGCCACAGGTCACTACACTGACACCCACCTGTGGGGCTGACTGTGGGCCACCACCCCGATGCCCACTTGTGGGGCTGACCGCGGATCACCACCCCAACACCCACTGGTGGGGTGACCCTCTGTTATCCTGAACTCAGTAGAACAGCAAACAGGCTCTGGCCCTTCTGGGGAGGTGGAGCAGTGTGCGCACAGCCCGTGGACACAGCCTGTGGACACAGCCTGTGGACACAGCCCCTGAGCTGCCTGCAGGCTGGGGGACAGAGAGCCCACATACCTCCATGCCAGAGTCACTGTCCACCTGGACAGGAGCAGATGAAAGCATAACACTGGGGACAAAGGGAGGTGGGGCACAGCTCCACAAGCCTGGCTGACTCCCGAGAGGTGGTGGCATGGCCAGGCAGGAGCAGGGCCCCTGGGCACGCTTGGGGTAACTGCTTACCAATGGAATCCTGCAACAGGTGTGTGAGCTTGCTGTTGCGGTAGGGCACATGGGTCCGGCGCTGCGACAGGGCCCCCAGCACGTCTGCCAGGGCAGCCAGGCTCCGGTTGATGCTGGAAGCCTCCCGCAGGGCCAAGCCGGTCACCCCAGAGTCACCTGAGACATGCAGAGCCCATAGTGACCTCCACACTGGGGGGTGCTCAGAGGGGTGACAAAGTTGCCCCAACCCCAGAGCAAGTGACACTTTTCGCAGAGAGGAAGCGCATGCCCAGAGCCCCAGGCAGAGTGGCTAGGATGCCTGTGCCTGCCCCTCGCTGCCAGCCTGCTCACCCACGCACTCGCTGCCTGCCAGGTCCACCAGCTGCAGCTTGGGCCACACCTGCTCCTGCTGCCCGTGGTGGCCATCATCCCTGGGAACAAGCCGTGGAGGGGAGGGCCCTGCTCGCTTCTGCGGGAGCAGGGGGCTGCCCAGCTGGCCAGGAGAGGATTGCTTCATCTCACTCCCTAAATCCACAAGGGTGCAGGCAGGAAGGAGAGGGACGGAGCGTTGCAAGTGCAGCCACAGCCCAGCTGGGGCAGACATCCACCCCTGGGGAGGGTCCCCCACCCTCCCTGGGACGGACCAGGCACGGGTGGCTGAAGGTGCTCCTGTCTCCCGCCCTGCCAGGGTTCCCTGGAGAGGTCCTGCCACCTTCTCCTTTGGCAAGGACAGGGACTTTACCGGGGCCGCTGCAGGAGGAGGGGGCCACAGGCAAGGTCACAGTGACGATGAGATGGGATCGGGAAGAGCTGGCATGCACGAGGGTGGGCTGCTGCGCCCGGAGCCTCAGGCCCTGGCGGACACAGGCCAGGAGCTCTGCGGCACTGCCCACAGCCCTACAGAAGACAGAACAGGTATGGAGGGTTCGGTGCCCATGCACTCACTGTGGACGTGTCATCGCTCCCATCGGCATATTCCACCTGTGCTGCCACCTGCTCACAGCCTCCCCGCTGGAGGCGGAGGGTCCCTCCCTCGTTTTTGGGCTCTCCCAGCTCAGGTGGGTCCCAGGTGTGGTCAGACCCTGTGCACAGATGTTAGGATAACACACTTGATTCAGTCGAGGGGTTTTCTGGCGACAAACAGACCCTCGTGTGTCTTGTCCAGTGTTGCCACCTGGCCCTGATCTAGCCGACAGGCACCTGCTGCCATGGGCAGGGGGCAGGGAGCCCTCGACTCTGACGGCTTCCTAAAGACACGTCGAGCATTCCTCCTGTTCCTATTTGCCCCACAGAAGCACAGGTGGGTCTCTGGCATGTGCCCCTTGGCCATGCACCCCGCTAGGAGGCAGCCATGTCACCATGGCACACCTGTCGCCAGGTGGCTGGCTGGTGGCCCTTAACAGACAGCTCAGCCAGCATTCAGCCAAGTGCAGTGAGCTGCTGGGCTGACCGATCCCCGGTCCTGCCCATCTGCCCCCCACCTGCCAGGGGCTGCCATGGCACTTACTGGCAGGTCAACAGGGGGACCTCTGGCCTTCCTTCCTGGATCATGGTCACTTCACGCTTGACCCTGGGTCCCCGAGCAGAGCCACCTTCGGCCAGAAGGTCGAAGACATTGTTGTTGTACACTTCCACCGCCGACACCTCCACCTGCCGGCTCTCTGTGGGCTCTTCCGAGAGCAGCCTAGAGGGCACAGCAGAGAGGGAGGCCCAAGAAGGTCTAGAAGGGGGCGTCCAAGGGGCAGACCCCCGGAGTGAGCAGTCTGAAAGCTCACCCCAGCCCCTTCCACTCGGCCCCTCCCACCTGCCTGACGCACCCTGGCCTCAGCCTGCAGTGTTACCCCAAGGCCACCCATCTGAGAGGCTGTGTGCCAGTCCCTGCCCGGCTACCACTCTCAGGGGCACCTGAAGAGCTCCCAGGCTACTCGAGGCACGAGGCCGCAGTCACCGTCAGCGTCGGCCGGCACGGCAGGCTCATCCCCACGCTGTGGGCCCAGCATGGTGTAGCTCTTGCCGCTGCCCGTCTGCCCATAGGCCATGATGCACACGTTGTACCTGGGGAGAGGCGGGCTGAGCGTCCACCCACGGACGGGTTGGGGGATCCTGGACCCAGGGGAAGCTGCCACCTGGACAGAAGGCAGCACCATACATCCCATGGCCGCCTCTGTACCCCTGCACCTCTGGCCAGGCCCCTGCTGATAGGAGCCCATCCCTGCTGCCCTCTAGTAATACCACATCTACACACACATACACACACCCACAGGATGCAACACAGCACAGTGCAGTCATACACACACAGCACATAACACAACACAGTGCAATCACACACACACACACACACACAGCACAGTGCAGTCACACACACACACAGCACATAACACAGCACAGTGCAGTCACACACACACAGCACATAACAACACAGTGCAGTCACACACACACACACAGCACATAACACAGCACAGTGCAGCCACACACACAGTGCCCATGGCTCACGTCACACCACATGCACGCAGATGCCCACAGCACACACACACCCTTTCTGTGATGCCTGTGGCCCACTCAGAACCAGACCTGCCACCTCGCATCGTGAGGTTTCCTGTCACTTACAGCAAACATGGGGGCTGTTTGCTCACCCATCCAGGAGTGAGGAGAGAAGAGGTCGCACCTCTCCAAAGATCTCGCTCTGAGGTTCCGCTGGCCCATAAACTCTGAAAGACAGAGGGAAGCTGGTGTATTGCTGCAAGGGGGGCAGCTCAGTCCCACGGACCCGAGGGGAGCAGCCTCCCCACGCACTTGCTGCACACAGACTGCACAATTCTTCAGCAACAAAGGATTAACTGGCGCTGCTTTCCCAGCTCGTGGGTGAAAGGGGGTGGGGGATCCAGTATCACTGAAGTCATCCATGCCAGCCGGGCAGGGAGCAAGGGGGCACGCTACGGAGGGAGGCCTTCACTGGCCATCGCCAGTGGCGACTGAACTGTCATTTCGGATCTGAAAAAGGCTGGCACACATGCCAGGAGCAGGCCAGCAGAAAGTGCAGCATGGCAGGAGGCACTAGGCTCAACACACAGTTCTTTCAGCCAGAACAAGCCTTTGTTCATCTGCGTTACATCATTATGCTCTGTATTCTGTAAGCTGTGACGACTGTAAAAGTGGACCCCACGGAGAACTCAACACGGAAAGCTTACACGGATGTGGGCCGAGTACAGGCGGTCAGGACAACCACAAGCCCGGGCACTGTTCTTTCTCAGAGCAACTGGAATTCTACCTGCACATCAGGAATGAGCACACCACGAGCACTGCCTGTCGGTGCTGCCCTGGGCCTGGGCTCTCCCTAGCATGTCCACCACGAGCGCTGCCTGTCGGTGCTGCCCTGGGCCTGGGCTCTCCCCAGCGTGTCCACCACGAGCGCTGCCTGTCGGTGCTGCCCTGGGCCCGGGCTCTCCCCAGCCGTGTGCACCACGAGCGCTGCCTGTCGGTGCTGCCCTGGGCCCGGGCTCTCCCCAGCCGTGTCCACCACGAGCGCTGCCTGTCGGTGCTGCCCTGGGCCCGGGCTCTCCCCAGCCGTGTCCACCACGAGCGCTGCCTGTCGGTGCTGCCCTGGGCCCGGGCTCTCCCCAGCCGTGTCCACCACGAGCGCTGCCTGTCGGTGCTGCCCTGGGCCCGGGCTCTCCCCAGCCGTGTCCACCACGAGCGCTGCCTGTCGGTGCTGCCCTGGGCCCGGGCTCTCCCCAGCCGTGTCCACCACGAGCGCTGCCTGTCGGTGCTGCCCTGGGCCCGGGCTCTCCCCAGCCGTGTCCACCACGAGCGCTGCCTGTCGGTGCTGCCCTGGGCCCGGGCTCTCCCCAGCCGTGTCCACCACGAGCGCTGCCTGTCGGTGCTGCCCTGGGCCCGGGCTCTCCCCAGCCGTGTCCACCACGAGCGCTGCCTGTCGGTGCTGCCCTGGGCCCGGGCTCTCCCCAGCCGTGTCCACCACGAGCGCTGCCTGTCGGTGCTGCCCTGGGCCCGGGCTCTCCCCAGCCGTGTCCACCACGAGCGCTGCCTGTCGGTGCTGCCCTGGGCCCGGGCTCTCCCCAGCGTGTCCACCACGAGCGCTGCCTGTCAGTGCCCCATAGACTCTCCACAGTCGTGTCCACCATGAGGAAGCCCTGGGCCTGGGTGTTGGTAAGCCGCTGGCTGGGATGCCCCCATCCTGGATTTGAGTCCCTGCTTTCTTCTAATTAATGCACACTTGGGAGGCCCCGGCCAGGGCCCTGCCAGCCACATGGGAGCCCTGAGCCGATTTCCTGCAGTGATCACTCTGGGCACTTGTAGATGGAACCAGCGAAGGAACCTGTCTCAGTGTCTCCAGTAAAATTTACACACGCGTGTGTCAATCAAGAGACGTGTGCCTCCCTCAGCTTCCCCAGCAACCCCGAGTCACCTGTTGAAGGGACAGGTGACAGTATTTCTCAGCCATGGCCTTCATCGTGCCTTGAAAATGGTGGTGTTCAGCAAGGGCTTCTCCAGGACTGGGCATGTAGGCCATGGCAGAGACGTGGCCCAGCATGCCCCATGGTCAGACAAGGACACAGCCCATCCTGCCATGGCCAGACACACTCCTCACCCACAGCATGATGTCGACTGCCTTCTCCCATCGGGGCTTTGGTCCCCTGCTCTGGCCCTGCACGCCATTCCTCCCTGCCTGCAGGAGACGTTGCACCAGCCACCGCTCTGGCCCTGCCCACCTCCACACGCTAGCCACCACTGCCCCACTCTGTGCTGCCCCAAGCGAGCTGACGGGGCTGCTTAGTGTACTCCGCAGCAGCCCAGACTTGGACTTACCCATCATGTCCATCAAGGTGAATGCTCAAGAGAACAAGGTTTACTTGCACCTGCAGACTGATCACACCCAGTGCTGGAAGGGGGCGCGGTGGCAAAGCTGACCCTACAGAGGACCTTGTGTGCAGCACAATAATGTGGCAACGAGACAAATGCAGCAGTGGCTAGGGGTTGGGGAGGGGTGCGCCAGGCTAGCGGGCTTCCCATCGGTGGGAGGCAAGCTCCGTGTCCAGCTGCATGACCTCCTGGCCGAGGTCAAGAGAATCCACCACGCACTGTACATCCTAGCCAGAGAGGTTGCCAGGCCTTTCCCCAGAGCGATGGCCGCTGCTCGCCATGAGGGTCGGCTGAGCATGTCCTTACATGGCACGTGCACGCATCCATAAACATGTAAACCACCTGTCGGCCACACCCACAGAGATGTCCACGTTACAGCACAGGATGGACAAGCCACAGCTGCCACCTGTGTCCACCTCGGGGGAGCCCAGAGGCTGCAGCCTGCATGGACCGTCCCCGGGGACGCAGTCAGCATGGTCCTCTCTGGGATGACCACTTCCTAAGTACCCAGAGATCTCAGGTTCCAGAGGGCATCATGTGGCTCAGCAGGGAAAACTGCCTATGATGTCGCATGCCATAAAGGTACCGGTTCAAGTCCCGGCGACTCCTCTTCCCATCCAGCTCCCTGCTAACACAGCAATGGAGGATGGCCTAAAGCCTTGGGCCACTGCACCTGAGTGGACAACCCCGACGGCATTCTGGGCTCCTGGTTCAGTGTGGGCCAGCCCCAGGTGTCGTGGCTGTTTAGCAAGTGAACTACCCGACAGACGATTTCTCCCTGTCTCTACCTTTCAGATTAGAAAAAATATTAAGCTTTTAAAACCAACTCATAAAGCAGCTGAGACAAATCCACACAGCTGGCCAAAGCTCCCCAGACAACCTGGCCAGGCATGCTCACCTCTCGAAGCTGTAGGTCTTGTTGATGGGGGGGTGGCCAGGACGGCAGCACTGTACCAGGACAGTTTCCTAGCAGTAAGGAAGGAAGATCAGAGGGCATGCCAGCAAGGCCCAGCCAGGCCACCTGCCCTCATCACGGGCATGTGCTAGCCCAGCCTCTGCAACAGCATGTGCAAGGCAGCCCTGGGGTTCATGGCAGGGCCAGGCACCAAGGCAGGGACCACCCAGTTCAGAGGGCACTTCTCTCCAGTGCAGGATGCCAAGGAGATAGCAGCCAGGCCGTGAGCACCTGAGGCAGGGAGGCAGTGGGCAGGGTCGGCCCTACGCACATGACGAGTTCGTGCTGATGGCCCAGCTTCCACATCCGGTGATAGTCAGAGCTGCCACATCACCACGCAGCATGCAGTCAAGGCTGCTCCCAGACAGCGAGGGCCCGGCAGCCCCATGCATAGGGGATGTGACTGCCACCCCAGGTCCCCCAACCCAGATGGGATGGTCTGGGCTGCAGTGCAGTGAGCCAGGGCCCTCAACACGTGTGCCCATGTACTTGCTTTGGTCTCAACAGCCTTCGCTCCCACCACCTTGGCTGTGGGTGGAAGAGAAGGCCTAGGCAGACTGGTCAAGACCAGTGAGGCTGATCTCTAGTCACAGGGTCACAGGCTCTGGCAGCCACCATCCACATCCACCTCAACAGAGGCCGGCAACAGCCTGGGGCCAGACCCCAAGCCCCTTCTCCATCGGCTGGTCCCTGACACAAGTGGAGAGCCAAGTGAGAAATAAACAAATGGCCCAGGAGTGGCCACTGCAGTGGGGCCGGATCTATGTGAGACAAGCTGGAGAGGTGGCTGGCACGTGCCCAGCATCTGCTCTGGTTCCCCACTGAGCCTGGGAAGCAAGGACAAGTGCTGGGGCGTGCAAGCGCAGAGCCCACGTCTGTCCTTCCATGCCTGCCCTTCCACGATGCAGATACAAAGGCATTCAGCAACATGCATGTGCCCATATCCGTCCACCCAGCGGGGTCCCCATGGGCACCATGTGTTCTGGGGACTTCCTGTGGCTTGGCGGGACCATGCCGAGAATGGGAGGGAGGGGTTTGGGGAGAGGGACGGAAGAGAGAGCCCCTGCTGTCCTGCCGCTCTCAGATCTTCTTGTTGGGGGTTACTCACGCTGTCCACCACATGGGCCACCTCCCGAGAGCCGGGGCTGTAGGACGAAACAGCGCTGAGAGCTCCCGACGCCCAGCCCTCCAGGGACCTGGCCTGGCCCCTAACTCCAGGTCCCTCCCTGCCTCTCCCTGTTCTCCGGCTGACCTTCCTCCATGCCTTTCCCATCTCTGAGCGTGCCCCATGGGGGTCTCCTGCAAGCATAGCCCCAGCTGACACGCGGGGAAGTCGCACCCAGGTCTGCTCGGGAACCTCATGCATGCATACCACATAAGAATGCCAACTCGAGCTCAGATATGGCACTGGGAGCTGACGCAGCTAGGGCATGGGCTGGGTGTGCAGGGTTAAGCCTCTGCTTGTGATGCAGGCGTGCCCAAGGAGAGAACCAGTCCGTGTGTGCTGGGAGGGCAGCAAGGGTGGCCTCATGCACAGGTTCCATGTGGGACAGCTGCACGGAGCGCCTGACTCCCAGCCACAATCAGCCCCTCCACCCTTCTCTCTGCTTCTCTTTCAGGTGGAGGAAGGCTGCTGTGGGCCTGTGGGAGGCTGGGCAGCCAGAGCAGCTCTGCTGCAAGCGGGCAAGTAGGAGGCACTTCCTGCACTTACACACACACACACACACACACACACACACACACACACACACACACACACGCGCCATATCGCACAGGCCCCATCACCTGTCCTGTGAGACAGTATCCTCAGGTTCACCATCCAGGGGCAGCAGGGGGCGGATTCGGCAGTGCACACGAATGCCACCTTTCAGGTCCTGTAAGGAGAGCCGCCAGGGCCACATGCACCCAGGGGCAGAGCTGAGTGGTGGGGCCACATGCACCCAGGGGCGGAGCTGAGCGGTGGGGCCACATACACCCAGGGGTGGAGTTGAGAGGTGGGGCCGGTCTCCAGGAAGGGGTCACCACATGCACCCAGAAGTGGAGCTAAGCAGTGGGGCCAGTGTGCAGCAAGAGGTCACCTGGCTCAGGCAAAGGGCCCCCCGTATCATGCCCACTGCACCTGGCTCA